CCCAAACTATTCTATGATATGATTCTTAGATCTGTTTCAGAACTACAAAGTACAAAAGAGCTCAGCTGAGGAAAGAGATGAAAATAAGCACTTTTGTTTCTTGACCCACTTGGCTGAAGCATCCTTTGTTCCAACAAGGAATTACTCACCAGTACAGTGCAAAGACTGGAAAACAGTTTGAGTTTTTTGCCATCTGTTAAGGTTGCAGGACTCTATGCCTGCATTGCATCTACATCATCAATAAAGTCCACAGTAGTTGCCGGGCCTCAGTACGTATAGGGCATGTTAGAGCACCTTGGGTACATGTTGTAATCGGTGCCCTCCAGAATAACACATATCTGTGGGGCAACCACTTTGAATACATCAAGTGCATAAGTGAGAAACTCTGGTACAGACATAAAGAATACTATCAAGAGTTCTCCTGTACACTAAAACAATAATGCACACGTCATGTAATTCTTAAATGTGGGAAAACATGTAACATAAACTAAACGAAAAGCTGTGAGGAGCAGGAAGTTCTTGCAAGAAGTACTTGCTAACCTGTAGACCTTCAGTGGTTTGGTTTTTCACAAAGACTGCTAGTGTAACTACTAAATGAACCTGAGGGTATGGATCTGTACAGGCATCATATGAGATGTGAGTTTTCTGCCCACTGGGAAAACAGATTAACAGTCTCTGGGAACATAAACCATGCTGGATGGAAAAAGCGGAAGTGTGTGACTTTTGGAGAGTGCTGTTCATGGAGTTAACATTAAATTTAAATTTAGCTTCATCTTTCCTGCTACTGATTAAATACGTTAGAGAATAAATTAGGAAATACACTACATAATCGCAAGATATGCCAAAACATTCACTTCTCTTCCAGGGTAAGTAATATCTCAGTCTTCACTGAAGTCTAAATTGTTGCTGAATCTACTGTTTCCTTGAACTGTGACAGTATTTCCCATCATAGAAAAATATGAACTAAAACTCACACATAACTGGATTAAATAAAAGCAAAAGTAGAATAATGATATTTCAGTAACTGCTATTCAAATAGAATCTGAATCTGTGGCAAGATTTCTACTTGGCCTTTTGCAGGATAGTCTCTACTTTTGAGATAGACTTATTCAATGCACTATGTGAACAGGTACCATGTAAAGGAAAAAAGAATCTGAGAGTTACAATGCAGTTTTTTAAGTGTTAAACCTTAATCCTAAATGCTTTTGCAGCTCTAAGTGTATTAAGGAATACATTCTGAGAATAGCTTGGCATTTTAATTGACACTAATAGGGATAAACATGTTTTGAACTATTAAAACTAGACTTTAATTTTCAGCTGAGTTGACATCACACTGCTCGTAAAACTGGTTCGTGGGAAGATAGATTGAGATTACTTTCTTTCATGAGATTAGGGTTTAGAAATTGTTTCAGAACATTCAGGTATTTGTATAACCTGTGCTCGTATAGGATATGAATCTGTAACAGTGAGCTTTGTTTTTACCAGAACCTGGAAAGCACAACTGTTACATTACACAGAATTTTGTTTGAACTTCTGGCCTTCCATCTTCTGAAGAACAACTTACAAACAGTTTTTTAAGATAATTATACGTAAAATCCTCAAACTCTCTTTAATTCGTGTGCTTAATTGATAGGAATAATCAGTCACAATTTCTCTTCTCCCCTTAAGTGTTTTTTTTTAGTATGTTTTTTCTTGGAGTTGTGTGAAATCCCAACTGTCCCATTAGTCAGGACTTCTTAGATAAAGTTTTGTTATTAAATAATTATTATTGAATAACATGGCTAATTATCTCTAACTGGGGTGGAAAACAGTGTTTTTTAAAACCTTTTTTATCATTTTACATAAAGACCTGATAGACTGAAAATGTCAAATTGCTTAGGTGATTAATGGAAGCTATTAGATTCCATTAAGCTAATTCTTAAAATGATTTTTTAAAGTCCAGCAGACCCAAAAATAAAAATATAAAAAAGACTTTAATCCATCTGTTCTAATAGAAATTTTGTTCATAACTGTCTATTTGATTATCCCTGGATGAAGCTGGGATTTCAGTCAGGTCTCAGGAAACTGAGAGCTGTCTTCAGTACATACAATCCAACTTTTCCAATGCAAATGTAAGTTCCTTTATAAAATCTGCAGGTACTGCAAAATCAATTGTATCTTCCTATTGCCGGTCAAGCTTAGCACTTCAACAGTAATTTACTCATAACCAGACTGAGTCAAAACCAGCTGTGTCTCAGAATAGAAAATACCCTGTAGTTCTTTCAAACACTACTGTTAAAAAATATTTCCATAGGATCAGGGCACAAGCTTATGCAAATGCAATCATGTAAACCTTCTCTTGTCATCTTTTTGTTTTATAGGAAGCTATTCTCATTCCAGGATTTACATGTACTTTGCTGTCAAGTAAGCAATTGTGTATATAACACCACACAACAATTTAGGAAAAATGGAAAACACAAATAATGTTACTATAATCCACTGTTGACTTGACTTATTAAAGATAATATCATAGTCAAATAGAAGAGAAGAAGTTTGAATCAGCTGTTTAAATTCACTCCCACTTTGTTTTCATTAGGACACCATACTATAAGTCTTGAAAAACACACTCTTTCTTATCTGAAATGTTTATTTCAATGGATGCTTTCCATTTCTTTAAATAATTCCACCTTTAAATGATTTTTAGAAAGTGATAAAAACGGTGATAACAATAACTTCTTTAAAGTGTTAGTCTTAACTTGAAAAACTAGTAATGCTTAGATGATTTTTCAGTTGATTAAAAAGGGCACACACACACAAAAAAAAAAAAAAAAAAAAAAAAAAAACAGCAACATATTTTCCTGATTTTATTCCACTCTTGCTAAAGATTGCCTAATCTAAGTAACAGGTGAAAATAATCAATGACAACTAGCTATGGTAACTCACAACCCTTGAGACTAAGCTTAAACAATTTTTGTTGTTATTGTTCAGGTGGGAAACTGTCTGGAAAAAGAAATCGATTACTAGATTTAAATCTATTCATGTTACTACATTTTTTACATTTTTAAACTAAAAGTTTTACTTGCAATTATTTTAACCCAATAGAAACCGAAGGCCTCAAGGACCTTTGAAATTATTACAGGCATGTGTAAATGACAAAGACTTTTTACAACTCCTGTGCATGAAAATCTTTGCTTTGATATGATCATCATTTCGTTTACTTTTTCCTTCTTTTTTAAGGAAAAAAAAAAAGTTAACCAAGAATTAGGTCATATACACCATTCCCAAGGCACAGACCAAGTAAGCCTGAGGCTTATTGCTTCCACCTGAGAAGGCTAGGATTGACCAAAAAAGCAAACAGCCTCCACCTGTCTGGGCTTTTGGCTTGTCCAAACAAGAGGCTTAGTCACTGGGTGAGAAGTAGGCAGACAGTAGCTACAATGGAGGGGGCCGTACCTTCTAGAAGTTGGTCCTACCCCTCTTAACCTTCATTATCCCCCTAGTGCTCTCCCTTACCCTTCCTCCACAGCAGACATAACTGGAGCAGCAATGCGCTTCTGGAGATCTGGTTTGGTTACCTTGTCCAAGACCAAGCCCCTTCTCTGACCTCGCCATGGGGGATGAGTCATGGAAACTTTTAAAGGTGGTGCAAGAAAACTCTGGGGAGAGAATCAGCAGGTGAAGGAGTAGCTCTGTGAATCCTGTTTTAAGGTGAGTGCTCTGTCATGGCAGATAGCGATGGGGAACCAGGCAATCTGAGAGAAAAGGGGGCGTCTTCAGACACCTCTCAGATGCTTCCAAAACCCTTCTGCCTCCAGCCTTCCCCTACAGAGGGTCCTCATTGCTGTGTGTTTCTCCCCTCTCTTCTGTTCCTGTGGTGTATCCTTGATTAAATGAAAATAAGCGTACTCATTATGATGCCTGGTAAATGAGCTGACCTCAAGGCAGGAAGGCAGGGCGCGCAAAAGTCTGGTTTTAATCCTTCTCCGGGTAAAAGGCAATAGTAAAAAAATAATAATAATAAAAACAAAACAAAAAAAAAGGAAGTTAGATAATGAAATAATAATACAGAAGGGAGAGTACGCGCAGAGAACGCGTATTTCTACCGCGGGACGCAGCACGAAGGGAACAAGGGGTCTTGGAGCCGGCTCGGGGGGGGGATAACCTCGCCCAGGGCCCCGCGAGGAGCAGGTTTTTGGCTGGCGGGGAGAGCTGCGGAGGCAGCGGGCGGGAGGTGGCAGCAGGGAGTCGCTGTGCGAGCTGGCGGTGCCGCTCCTCGGCGCCTGCCTGCGGGATGCTCGGGCGGCCCCGCAGGTGTGAGCGCAGCCCCGGGGGTGCTGCAAAGGGCCTCCTGGAGCCGTGCCGCTGTCACAGCACTCCAGGTCTCCCCCCTGCCCCACCCAGAGGGCCCCTCGCCCCCGGGGAAGATGTTCTCAGCCTTGCCAAACCGGCCGCGGCTCCTGGGGCTGAACGGCAGCGGGTAGGCGTTGCCCCCCGACGTGTGTCCCCCTGCACAGGGGTCGCCCCGATGTGCAAGGGGATGGTGACAGTCCCGTAACAGCATCCCCGCCGCCTGCCTCGGGGGCTCCGCACGGCCACTTGCCGGTGAAACCCCATTTCAGTAGCCTTTCCCGCAGGTGTCTCAGCAAAGGGTTAAGCGCCGGTGTGAGTAAACACGACGTGCACATCCCTGACCCTCTCCGCTCGCACAGAGACTCCCGGTCGGTTTCTCTACCCGAGGATTCCTGAGGATGCAGAGCGAAAACTGAGGGAGAAGCGAGCTGGGGCGTTAAAAATAAATAAAAATAAATAAATCCTGCCTCCTCTCCGCTTCTACCCTTTGTGCCGGCGGGCCTCAAGTTTTGCCCACCCCACCCGGCCGGGTTGCGGTCTCCCACCCCAGCTCCGCGCCCCTTGCCCAGCTCCAACAGCACCGGGGGGGCCCGGGCGCGGCCCCGCCCGCTCGGCCGCGCTCCTGCTGCCGGGGAGGGGAGCGGGGAAGGGGGGCGGGAGGGAGGGGCGAGGGCGGCAGCGAGCGGCGGCGGCGGCGGCGGCAGATGCTGCGGCGGAGCCCGGCTCTCCTTCGGCCACAGCCCGCGGCCGGGGCGCCCGCCAGGCGCGCTGCGCTACGGCGCCGCCGCGCAGCCCTCGCCAGCCCCAGCAGCAGCAGGAGGAGCAGCGGCGGCAGCAGCAGCACCGGGAGGAGCAGGACCAGCAGCAGCAGCAGCAGCACCGGCAGCCCTGCGCCTCGCCCCGCGGGGCGGTGGGGGCCGAGCCCCGGCGCTGTCCTGCGGCGGAGCCCCCCGGAGCCGGCTGGGCGCGCTCACGGGGGCGCAGCGGGGAGGGGGGGGATGAAGCCGAAGGTGCTGCAGCTGGGCAAGGTCAGGACCTTGCGGTGAAGACCGGGGCCGTCGCTCGCCCCCCCTCCCCCCCCCCTTTTTTTCCTTTCCTATCCTTGGAGTGAGGATTTGCTGTTGGGTTTTGGAGGCTGCTCGGGAGGACGCAGGGGGAAGCGGCGCCGATCGGTGAGTACGGCAGGCACAGCAATGGTGCCAGGTCCCCCCTCCTTCGTCTTCCTGCCTCTGCGCGGTTATTGCTGCTCGGTGCGGGCTCCTGCGCTGCTCCCCTCGGTGAGGCAGCCGGGCTGGGCTGGGCTGCGTTTGTGCCTTCAGCGGAGAGGGGACAAAGTGCCTGATCTGCCCTCGTTCCTCCCAGCCCTTTCCTCCCTTTCTTCATACGCTGCCCGTCGCTTATGTAGGGCATCCGCGGCACCGTGCCTCCCGACGCCCTGCACTAATGCACTCGTTACGGCAGCGGGCTGGGGGAGAGCGGCAGAAGCAGCAGCAGGAGGAGGAGGAGGAGGAGGAGGAAGGCTCCCGGGGACCCGCGGGCGGGGGCAGCGCCCGGCCCTGCGCGGAGCCCGCTCGGGAGGTGCCGCCGCGATGGGCCTGGGGCGGCTGCGGGTGTCTGTGTGTCTGTCCGTCTGGGTGGCCGTGTGTCGCCTGAGCAGTGGTGGGGATGATGGAGAGGGGGGGGTTCTCCTTTGAAGCCGGCGTGCCCGAAATCCTGCGCTCGAGGAGCGGGCGGAGGGGGTGGGGAAGGGAGCCGCGCTGTGCAGCGCGATGCTCCGCTGATCTATATTTAATGGCTGAAAGGAAAGGCGCTTTGCTTTTCTTTACCCTTACCTTACTCTTATTCTGGTGTGTAATGTGCTCGCATCGATCGGGCGCAGCGTGGCTTCAGCTGAATCAAGTCACCACAGAGGAGGTGCAGCAGCGGCGCAGGCAGTGCGTGTCGTACACAAATTCATCTGGCCGGGCATCTCAGAGGGAAAAAAGATAAAATATGGAAAAACCCCGAGGAGAAATCATTTTAGAAACCGTGTTAAATTTCCCCTGGAGGGACTCGAGGCATGGATATGTGAAAGGCTGGAATACAGTGAATACTTGTTGTGCTCAGACATTTTCTTTCTCACAGTTTAAGTGGCAGTGTGTGCTTTGTTCTGATTCAGGGTGGCACGATTAAGCATTATAGGGGAATAGCTGACACTTCTAGAAAAAGAGGTAGAAATGCAGAGGCCCTTGGTTAAACAGCCAGCTCTTAACTTTATTGGCTGCAGCGGCTGATATTTGTGCACCTAAAACCGTGTATGCCTGGTAGTACCTACTGGGATTAAAGTAAAAACTTCACGTTGCAGGCTTTTTCACAGTCTGTATGTAGGTTGTCTGTATGTAAAGCGAAAACATGAGACCTCCCAAACTGTAGTTTGTAGCTCTGTGTGGAGATGTACAGCTGTACCTCAAGGTATTGGGAGGACTGCCTGGGACTGCGTGGAGTTTATGTAAGTCTGTTGTGGGCTTTTGCTAAACCAAGAGAAGGAGGAATATCTGTGTCATCCTGTCTTGAAGGATGTGTTCATCCTGTCTTGAAGAACGAGCTGATAAAGTTATCCCACTCCCATAGGCCAGCCTGATGTTTTCCAAGCTGCTCAGTTAGTTGGTCAGTGTAGAAATGACGTGGCACGAAGGGAGCGAGGTGCGGGGCTGCAGGGAAAGCTGCTGCATGCTCTACCTGTGGGCCTCAGACCCCAGCGGCCCCAGAGCTTCTGTGAACCGCTTTGCATAACTTACTTGGATGCAACCCTGACCCTAAAACCAAGCCACCAAGGAAGGGTGTGATAAATAAGCAGGGCTCGTGCGTTCATGATGATCGATCGCATCCCGATCGTGCTGTTCAGAGATGGTTTTTGCAGGCTGTTATATAAGGGAAGCTTTGGGGAGGGGGGGAGGAAGAGTAGAGAACTGTGCTGTGTATACGCACCAAAGGAAATACCTCTCAAAGCTGCCAGTAGGAAGCAAAGTATTATTTCTGAATGCCGATTGCATGACTCTTTGTGGACTGCAAGAAAGATGCTTTTGGGAGGGAGCTCCAGCTACTGTGCTTGAGTTCAGTTTGTCAGGTACATTAGCTCATGTTAAGCAGTGATAAATAGCTCATCAGTGGCACTAGCTTTTGACTTCTGTTATGTGTTGCTTTCTTTTAAGTATGCTCCCAAAATAATTTTGTCCTCACATAATGAACTCTGACAGACAGCTGCACAAAATAGAAATAGTATCAACTAAAAAAAAAGTGTTTGCATAATTCTTATTTGCATAATTTACCTTTGCTGATGGATGGTATCAATTTAATGGCTGTGATTTGGTGTAATGTGTTTGTTTCTCAAGATGTGTAAAATCAACTTATGCTACAAAGGAAGTGGTGGAACAGCTTATTTTAAGGGTTTTAAGAAATATGCTTTTAAGTAGGGCTGTAGATCGGCGTGTAAATGGAGCAGATAACAAAATCAGCAGAACTCATGAGTGTTAAATTTTGCACTAAATTTCAGATCCATTTTCTATTTCATGGTTCAGTGTGATACGATTTTTAGAGCCTATCACTTGTGGAAATTCCAGCATATCTTTGTTAGGATTTCAGACATACGTTTCAACAATTCCTAGAAGCAACTGTTTTCAAGACTGTCAGCAAGATAAGGAAAACACATTTATTATGGCACTATTTTCTTAAATAAGATCCTGTAGTTTTGATTCTTATTGATTGCACTTGTAAGTTGTGAAGTCTGCTATTTCTGGTTACAGCTTACTTTGACAAAAATTAAGCGGATTGCTTCTCTCCTTTTTGAAGCTTTCAGTAAGATCTTAGCACAGGGTGAGTTTTGGTTGATTATTTAGCTGCACAATATTAAATTTAGTAGTTTGATTATGTACAACATTAGTAATAAATTGTAAGAGAGGCAGGATTTTTAAATATAATGTGCTTATTTTTTTTAATGACAGAATGACTCTCAAATAGCACTAAAATGCTTTTGCTTCTGAAAGAGAGGTTGACTTTCCTGACAAGTCAATATGCCTGCAAAAACATTGTTCTTCTGCCTTCTTTTTTAAGGGAGAATGTGATGGTAAAATGTTGAGCTTAGTGTATCTTTTGTCAATACAAGTTCTCTGAGTAGGACAGCTATGCTCGTGTATTGCAAACCACGCAATCCTTTGGTTTGTGGCACTTCAGTAGTTAGGTTTTCTTGGAAGGAGGCCTGAACGGAGAGTGACACTGAAATAATGTCTTCTGTTTCTTTGGGATGTGATGACTTGGTGTTGTGAATGGGTTGTAAGAGCAGATTGCCTGACCAGATTCTCTGACAGTATTGTGGACATTATAAATATAAAGGAAATGTGGTATCTGTTTACATAGAAAATGATAGCTATGTTAATAGATTTTCTTTTTTCTTGTATGAGTTACTTGTTTGGTGTAAAACTAGGAAATGGGGAAACATTATCTATGACAGCAAGTATTTAATATTTGTTTAAATTGTTCTTGGCATGAAAACTTCTAGTGCATCATACTGGCTCTTAATCTGCCTGTTCTGCTTTACAAAATTCAATTATAGTAATAAGCAATAACTTCAGGAGACATAAAGTGCAGAAGAGTATGTATTATCTTGTCCTTTTAGTCACTCCCTGTTTTGCTGATTTTTTTTTTTTTTTGGGGGGGGGAAGTCTTCTAATGAAATTTTAAAACTTTTTATTTCTCAAACCTACTACGAATGCAGTAACCTTCTTAAAATCTCCATATATAATAACAATATTTGGTGTTACATTTGGTTGTTTTACTGCATTCACCATTATAGTTTCACAGTATAACAAACTATTATTTTTCACCTGTTTTCATTCATTTTTGGGGAGCCAGAAATATGCAGAGTCCACATCAAGTAGTAACATAAATTTAAAACATCTGAGAACCAAAGGGGCTTTTCATCAAATGTTCTCTAGGGGAAGATTTTGCATTTTTTTCTCTCCCCACCCCTTTTTTCTTACCAAGTTTGCAGTTGACTTCATCTCCCGAAATCTTCACAATACAGCGCTTTTTGTCAACAAAACTTCTTTTGGAAACTGACAGTAAAACTTACTGCTTAGTATATATGGACTCCCTTTTCAGCTGTAGGTACATTCTTATGTCCTAACACAGTCAAGTATTGTTCAATTGAGCAACACCGGAATGTACCTATAAGGCTGAATTCTTGAAGGGAACCAAGTGAAATTAGGCATGTAGCATAAACAGCTATTTTGATGAGCTTCTTAATACTTCTAAACATGCTGGATGAGACTTAACTTTTACATATTTGTTTATCTCATGTTAATTTCATTTAAATCACTAAAATGTTTGGGGAAATAATAGGAAATAAGTTTCAGTGTGGCAGTGGAGAATTGTTGTACCTTCTAGCACCACTAGGATTACTTAAATTTGTAATCTGTGTCCTGGAAGGGCATGTATTTCATATTAAAACCAGCAAGCAGTAAGGAAGATTGACTGGCAAGATTCTCAGGAGGTGGCTTGAGGCTCTATATGCTACATTTTGAGGAATGTATTATCTTTTAAATCTTGTTTCCCTATAGAGTGCTACTTCCACAATATTTGAAGATGGATATCTACAAAACACTGTACTGTGTTGAATATGGAACACGTGAACCTTACAATTTCTGTTTATATTTTTCCGACAAAATACTGGAACTTGAGAATGTGCATGTTACTGGCTTGCTAGCAGACTTTTTGTCGGTGGTGTTGATTTCCTTTATATACACTTAAATGATTTTATATTTATCTGAGTTTAACTCATACCAATGAGTGCTGGTCTCTGAAAACAATGTGCACAATCATAGAATCATAGCAAGGTCTGGCATTCTGGTAGCTTCTCCTAATGTTGTACCTGGCTGGGCAGTCATCAGATTTCTTCATTCATGAACATGCACTTTCTCAGAAAGTAGGTTGTCATCAAAGTCAAACTTGCACATTTAAAGATAATCATCCTTCTTCCTAAGAGGTTGACTGTTACCTTACTTGTTTGGCATGGGGAAAGGCAAAAGCTTTTTTTTTTTTTCTTTTTTCTTTTTTTTTTTTTTTTTTTGGCATGAAAAATGGCATGACATTGAATATGGAGATGTCTGAAAAAAAAAGACTGACCCAGAAGGCTGGG